CGTCTCCAGTTTTTCCAAATTACCGCGTAACGATCACCGATAAGCACGAAAATATAATTCAATATTAATTGACCATCAAGATACGCTAAGTTCCTCTAAAGTGCAGCCATAAAAGAGTATCCCAGAAAAAAACCATTTCCAGAAACCAAGGTTTATGTAACGCGGCTTGGCATAGGAGCGCACCGTGTGTATCCTCGTTTCTCAATTTCGGCGCTCGGGAAAGGAAAGGTCGCCTAGGCGGAAAGATTAATTCGAAGAGTGCGGCTATTGCATAAGCGATCGACGAGAGGATTCTTTCGGATTTAAACGCACGGTACGTACACGTTGTTACGTATCGTAACATTGAGCGCAGTTGATACGAAATCGTATCGCGATATCCTGCGCCGAGCCCTCTAAAACCGTTCCTCCGCGGCGTGCACACAATAACGACCGCATACATAATCCATATAAGCCCGCGAGACGATACGCACGAGGTATGAGCGTGGGTGTACGACCCTGGAGGACGTAGGTTGGGCGAATAGGCGACTCCGCTCGGTTCGTGCCTTTTATGTAATTCTCTCCTCACCCCTTCACCAGGCCAATCACGGTCACGTACGCAACCGTTTGTTCTAGCGAAGATGCGCGGCGACTTTCCACGGTTAGTCGAAGGGCGGAATTCGTTAACATTTTCACCGCCGTATCACTCGAGTTTGAATGTCACAATCCTTTCGATCATATCGAAGGAAAAATTCAATGACCGAAATGCATGGTGACTGAATGAACTGCATTTCGATGAAACTATGAGATAAGAGGATTAAGGGAGCAATTACTCTATGAAGATCCTCGTCTTCTGAATTTCTGTTTGCTTAAGAAAATTGCTTTAAGCTTGAGGGATTCTAACGAGATCTACTTGCAATCGAGAAACAGGTACGCGAGACGTAGTCCTTTCTCGACGGAAGTAACCGTCAAGTGTACCGGTTCAGCATTAAAACACTAAAACTTCTCTTTTTCTATCTCAAACATCGTACCGAATGTTCCACAGAATCCTAAGACAAATCACGGTATCGTTGCCTTTTTTATTGCGAAAAGTTCGGCCACAGTGATTTTTCTTGATCGACCGATAGACGGAATTCGTTAAAAAGATCAGCATCCCAGAACCCAGCCAATAAACAGGTCTATCTAGCAACGTCGTCCTTCCTCGACAAAAGAGATCATCAGAGACCCGCCAGTTTAGTATCAAAACATTAAGGATCCTCTCTCTTTTTCAAAGAGATTCCACTGAACGTTCCACGAAATTCCAAGATAAGGTGTGGATCGCGTCATTTTTACCGCGAAAAATTCAGCTGCAGTTGAAAGAAAAGAAACAGGAAGCTCGTTCGCGAACATATGATGCATCCAGAGAGAAATAGGCGGACGGAAGGAAAGAGGAAAAGAGAGAGAGTACATCCTGGGGTCTCCGCCTCCTCAATCCTCGCGACTATACGAATATGCGGATGGGAGAAGAGGTCGGCGGGTCGGTCCGGGTGGAATCAATAGCATTTTCTACGCATTCGGATCGATAGCGGTGTCCCGTTGGTTTCGCGCGCAAATCTCGATACACATACACACTGGGAACCTTGTGTCGCTTCTGTGCAAAGTTCTGTGTGTATCTATGAGCACGTCGCCCGCCCATAAAATATATATACGTGTATATAAAAATATACATATACGTGTATATATATATATATATATTCAATATATACACATATATATATATGTATGTATACCATTGTACCAACGATATATATATTCGATATATTCGATATAAATGTAGGATGGCTGTGCTCGACCTTGCTCGACCTTGTTGGTAGCCTGAGTGAATGGTTTTCACGGTGAATGGCACGTCATCGTGATGCGGTACACCGTGTGCATTAACGGGCGAGCGAGCGAGCGGACCAATGTGCACGCTCGCGCGTTCTCGCTCGCGATCGAGGGGATTTCTGAAATGTCGTGCCGCGATCGTCGCCTCGCTCGCTCGCTTCCTTCTTTCGACATCGTCCGGCCGAGAGGCGAGCGAGCAAGCGAGCGCGCAACCTCGAGGCAGCGTTCCTGATAAATGGATTACGTAAGAAAATCGTGCAAACTCTCTCGGACGGCTTGATTAAATCGACTGCGCTGGAAAAGCGAAGTCGAGAGAGACGCGCTGCTCGCAAAGCAGTCCAGATGATGTCCATCGATCCACGGTGGAGAACGTTTTCAGTGTCCTCTCGCGCGAAAAAAGAAATTTCTCGCGTTAATCGAGAGACGCGACGATATTCACGCGCACAGAGAGCGCAGCTGGTGATCGAAAAGGACGCGTAATCACTGCGCCAGCGAAACGAAAAAAAAAGGAGTCTAACCTCCACGCTGGAAACTGGAAAGAGATGAAATTATTCGACGAATGAACTGCGTTTACAGGAAAAAGAAGGAAATGAGTGAAAAAAAAGGAGGAACGGATGATGTCCATTAAACGTCACTGTTTACATTGCCGATATCGTTTGACTCAGTTACGTCAGGGAACTGTTGAATCAACTGGAATTTTTCTTCTTCTCATCATTTGCGTTGTTATCTAGCCCAGCACGTTGTTCCGCGAACGCTTCTCGACTGTTCTTCTGCTTCTTTCTCTCCGTTTCTCCTTTTTTCTCTATGATCTTTTTTTGTCTTTTTCTTTTTTGTGATAGATATTTCTTCTCCTGGAAGGGAGTCAAGCATTACCGAACCGTGTATTCAATGAACCGTGCTGGAAAGTTGGTCGAGGGAAACACGAGCCGAGAAACCGAACCGAACAGACGCGAATGAAGACCGTGACAGTGTACACAGCTCGGACGAATGATTCGTGCCGGTTCGGTCCATATACCCGGCGCCGTGCGACCGGCGAGAATCATTCGGAACGTTGTGTACACAACTGCGTTCCCCGAAAGGTGCACCACACGTTATAACACCAGCATCGAGCCACCTCTTAGGCATATTTGTTTAGTCGCACCGGCTACGGACGGCGCGGCGCGTTCGACCAGTTTTCGACCGAACGGGAAAAAACGCTTCGACGCTCCGTAACGACGCCGAGCGTACCGTGAAATAAGAGCCGTTTTCTGGTGTCGAACGAGAGAAACGTCGCGTTCAGATACCGTTCGGGTTTATCAACAAAACCCCCTCGACACGAATTCTTACAGCGGCTTTTTCTCCGTTTTTTTCTGCTTTTGCTGGAGAAATTCTTGTATCGGAGAATTGTTTCACTGAAAAGTTTGATGGAAACGGATCTGCGTGTCTTTTATTACAGGATGCCTGGCGTTTGCGTGTTGGAAGACGTTCTTTCATGCGGAGACACACTTAAACTGTTAAACGAAGCAGCTCGGATAATTTTGCTATGAGTTTTTGAATAATGTTAGATTGTTTTAGTAAATTGGACCATCTTCGTTTCAATGATCTTAAATATATAACTGAACAATTATTCTATTTAAAAGTATAATGGAAATGTGTTTTTCGGATTCACGACTGTTTTCGTTTGTGTATCTGCGTACGTGAGTGAGAGGACATTCTTGGTGTCGGGATGTGGCTTAATCTGTTTTGCAAGAAGATATGGAGTATCTCGTATAAATTTTACCAAGAAACTGTTTGAATAGCACACGTCGAAAGATGATACTACTGAAAAAATATGATGAAGGTGTACATTTATGAATTTTCTGAGTTGTGCAACTTTACATTCGTGAGTTAAAGACACACAATCGCCGTGGGGATGCGGCTGAACCTGTTACGCGAGAAGATACGGCGTATCTAACATATTTTCTCCCTCGACAGACGTGCATACGATGCCGTTTATAATAACACTTGTTGTGATGCAACAACGCGTAAGAATTTCTAAACAAACAAACGAAAAAAAAAGCCAAGCGTTAGCGAAAAATGATGAGTCAACTGGTCTTCCCAACGAAGCAGGATAATACATAATCGACGCGCTTGAAGCCTGGCTATAACTCGCCATTACCATCGCTATTCAGTATCCGACCGACTGAAAAAGTACTCAAGAATGTTTTCTCGCTGTCAATCCATATGAATTCGATTTTTCTGTCATTTTTCCGTTGTGTACGCCTAGCTCTAATGATTCTTATCGCTCGTAACTAAGCAATTTACGGCCGAAACGAGAGGAATTATTCAGCTCCAAGTTTCAGTATCTGTAACTCCAGAAATAAACCGCATTCGCGAATACGATTAGCAAAACACTTTAGTTTGACCAAACAATTCTCGAACACTCAACGCGTTAACGACGGAATCGCCGCAATTAGGTGCCGAATTATTTTTTGACGATTGACTAACGCTTGCCTTGTTAATCACGACACTATCGTTTATGTAAAAACATTTTCGTTTGGTAACAATATCACTTTACTTACTTAGATTTGAAAAAGTAAGTAATAAAACCTAAATATCTATAAATTTACCACTGCATCGACATTACCTAAAGTTCCGGAGTGTAAAACTAAGAGCACTTCGAATCGCAATGGGGTAAGAGGCCGTGTCCGCGACGCATCGCACAACAGAGGGGCGTCGGTTTTCTGTCGATTAACGAATCGTCTCGCTCTAATAACGGGAAATTCGTTAAAG